AAGGAAGGAAGGAAGGAGGTTGGTTGGTTGGTTGGTTGGTTGGTTGGTTGGTTGGTTGGTTGGTTTTCCCCTATGCTGGCTGCAGACATGGGGAGGGATGAAGATGAAAGGCTCCCAGGTTCTCCTACTGCTGGACCAGCCATTGTCCCCTGCTCACCTGGGGTACTGCCAGTTCTTGCTCCAACCCCACGTCAACGTGGAATGTCAGGAAGATGCCAGCACAGAAAAGGAGGGTGAAGAATAGCACCTAAAGATGTGAGAAAGTGCCAGAAGGAAAGCTGGGAGGAGGCTCCCCGCTCTGCCAGCCTCCCAGGATCCCCTCCAAGCAACCCCCCACCCAGGCAGGGCACTCACCACCAGAGCCCGGACAATGCTGCTGCCGAGCAAGGCTGGCGTGTAGAACCGGCGCATGAATGTGCGGAGGAGCCCTTCATGTGGTTTCACTGGGCCATGTTCAGCCAAGCGGAGGCAGCAGCAGAGATCAGCACGAGAAGCCTGTGGGCAGAGGGGTGGAGAGCTCATGGCTGGATCTGCAGGAGAGACGGCGGGGTGCCCATTGCAGCAGCTCAGCCCCCGGCTGCCAGGCAGCCAGCCTGACCTTCTGTCTGCGGACATCCAAGGACATCAGCGCCACAAACAGCGAGATCTGGAGCAGGAAGTCGAAGAGCACGGCCAGGGCTGCAGAGAGGGCAAAGGTCCAGATCGCAGGCATGGGCGTCAGGGCCCCTAGAAAGCCAGAGAAAGGCGTACAATGGAAGGGGTCACCCTGCGGCGCTCAGGGTCTCTGCACACAGACAAGGAGGCCCACCTTTAAGCTTGCTTTCAAAGGTTGACATTTAATTTTATGTGCTTATCTTCACTCTGGCTGGGTTTGCACAACTTGGTTAGTGAATTTTTTCAGCATATTATGCTAACCATATTTCCTGGGTTAGCATAATATGCTGAAATACACATTTTTAAAAAAGGGTCGCATTCACACGCCACAGAAAGAAAATTATTAAAAACCCTAACCAAGCTTGGCCTGAGTTGTGTGAGCTGGCCTGTCTCCTCCTCTGCCTGTGAGCCCTTGCAACACCTCCTTCCACTTGTACCTGTAGCCTCTCCCCACCAAAGGCAGGTCAGGGCCCACCTTGCCCACCAACCTGGTCAAGGCCGCCAGGAAGTCATTATCCCATCAGGAGGAAGCTCTGAAAATAGGAGCCCAGGGCCAGGTTGTGGGGAGATCTGCCTGATCCACCAGCATGCTTCCAGCTTGACTCACCCAAGAAGAAGCAGATGACTTCAGAGAGGCTGCACAGGAGCATGCCGGGGGCAACATCACCCAAAGTGCGCCCAAGATGCTGCTCAGGGGTTTCCCCAGGCAGTGGCTGAGATCGCTGCAATGACAGGGGGCAGAGGGGTGAGAAAAGCTGCCCCGGGGCTTCCTCCAGAACGGCCACTCCAGTCCCAGCTGAGCAGCATACACCCGTATTTAGTCAGCCCCGAGTCTAATAAGGGTGGCCTTGCTTCTGGCTATCCAGAACCCCTTTTCTTTCCCCAATTCAGAACAGGAGCTGTTAGCTGTTTTGGACCCACCCATCTTGGGGGGAGCTCGCACCTGGTATTCCAAAACAAAGATGAAGATGTTATCAGCGCCAACCGCCAACACCAGAAAAGGTACCACTTCAAGAATAATGAGGGATGAGGGCAGCCCTACAAAGCTGAAGAAGCCCAAAGATGACAGCACAGCCCCCAGGACCACGAGGACTCCGCCAAGAGCGATGGTCACCTTGGCATCCACCTGAAAAGAAGAGCGGAAGGGGAAGCCACAGCCTCAGCAGAGCCCACACCTGCCATCTCCTCCCCCTGAGCGGCACGGGGAGCATGAGTGGGGCAGAGAGGAGGGAACTGCCCCATGGATCCACGTGGGCCGGGGGAGCAACACACAAGCCCAGCCCTCCTCTTCCTGGGATCAGGGAGAAACCCCTCCTCTCCCCCTAAACCAAGGAGAAAGGAGGCATCCCCATCGTTTGCCACTGTTGGTTTTGAATCTGTGTGCGCCGCCCTGCGATGGGCAGCCATATATATTATCTAAGTAAATAAATAAAGTTTCCACCTGCCTCTCTCTCGGCAGACAAGTGGTTCCTGCAGGAACATGGCAAGACAGGCTCAGTCAGTCCCTTGCCCTATCCAGAACCCCTTTTCTTCCCCCAGTTCAGAACAGGAGCTGTTGGCTGTTTTGGACCCACCCGTCTTGCAGGAAGTTCGGAGAGGTCCTAAGTCTGTGACCCTCCTCACCCTTCCTTGAACGAACTGGGAAAAGCCTTCCCTCCTGCCAGCCCGAGATGGACCAGGGCCCAATCCACTCTTCCAAAAGACTAGAATCCGGCTATAATAGCAGAATCTCACAAGTCAGATGCGCTTCTCCTCCCCTCCCTCTTACGCCCCCACTGAGTCAGAAGGAGCCTGCCTGCGTCTCTGCTCCCAAGGAACCCTTTGGTCCCGCAGAATGGCTTCTCGACGCTGGCTTCTGCCCCTCCTCGCTTACGGAAGACATGGAGATCCACGGCCTCTTTTGGCCTGCTACTGAGGCCACTCTCAGTCGCCTTTCTTGCACCCAAACAGCAGCTGAAGGCTCTCGAAAGCAAAGGTGCTCGTTGCTCTGCAGCCTCCCCGTGACTTGGCCACGTAAGAAAAGCCCCCAGGGATGGACCAGTGCCACCAGGACTGCAGCTGCCCTTTAGACTGGCTTCCTCCGGTGCCTTGACCTTGAAGCATTTATTGCTTCTCAAAACTCCCAGCTCCTTCAAAGGGTTACATCCCTCTATTCCACCCGCAACAATTCCATTTCTTTCTAGGACAGTGTAAAGACCAGGCCTTGTATGCAAACATCTCACACTGAGTCCTTCCCTAGAGCTGATGCACTGTACAAATAGTCCATGTTTAGTGACCGTTCGCAGTTACAGCAGTGATGAAAAAGAAACTTTGCGACCAATGCTTGCATTTACAACCTTTGCAGGTCTGTAAAGCAAAGGAAAGCTGAAGGAAAATCATAAGCACAGTTGCAGTTTCACTTAGCGACCACTTCATTTAACAACCAAGTAGCCGGTCCCAATTGTGGTCGCTAAATGAGGACTACCTGTAATGCGCTTGCTCAGGACAGAAGAAGCAACCCATCTCTTTCCCAGTTAAATACTGACGGACAGCCCTTTCTTCTTTTTCTTTTTTTGAAAGATCCCTGAACACGTCTTTGATCGCGAATGCAGCAAGGGCCCAGAGGGGAAGAGTGTGCCTGCCAAGGGAGGTCAGAGGACGCCAGTCCCAGGGCACCTGTGAACAATAGATCATTTGTACTCCCAGACTTGCACTGGCCCGGGATGGAAATCACACTGAAATGGAACGGCCAAGGACGAATGGAGGCAGGCTGGGGCAGCCACAGCGGCCGTCTCCTCGAACGAGCCATTTAGAAATAGCGGACCCAGCGTGTGTGTGTGTGTGTGCGTGCACACGCATGCATGCGTGCCCCATAGGGTGCCTGCTGATATACTGAGGCACCTCCCTACTTTCTGCTTCCTACCAGGATGCGCCTGCAGCTGGAGTACTCGCCCAGGGCCACTGCCATGTACACGAAGATCACCAAGTAGCTGGTGAGAAAGATGGGGAGGTCTTCCCAGGTGGTTCTGCTCACTTCATCCTCCAGGGAGCGCTGCAGTTGCGGGGAAAAGAAGAGGGTTGATTTGGCTTCGGCAGGAGAATCACGTCCCCCGTGGACAAAGCCAGCTTGGCGTTGGCAACGTTAACACATCCACATTTGGCTTTTCTCATCATCCTTGGTTATTTCTGAATAAATAAAAGCCAACTGCAAATGGAAGGGAATACATAATACCAACACAATTAACTCCAGAGTCAAAGAAGCAGGATTTCAAAGCTGGCTTCCCATAACCACTGAGTTAGGTTAATGACAGGCTGAGGTTACATTCTCACAACCTGTTCAGCTTGGCTAGTTCTGAACCTTATTTAATTTCTGATGGTGTGTATGTTGTGCAAGAATAACCCATTTGGCTCATTTATGTATTTGCACACCTAGAAAATGAGTTCATAGGTACCAACTTAAGCGCTCTGTGTGAAAAGCCAAAAAGTATGTAAGAGTTGTTTAAAACTCCTGGGGGGAGTAGAAACAGTGTTGCTTTGCACCTAAGCAAAGATAACAGGGTAGGGAGCAAATGCCTCCACTCTTCCAATCTTGTTGGTAAATGTACCCCAGACAGAAGACAAGGGATTTGGAGAGGTGGAATGGGAGCATCTCTCGGCTCCCCAGCTGGCTGGGGCCACCCGGGTCTTCCTGACGCTCTCGGCCAGGGGCTGCACCCAGACAGCGGGACAGCTTGAGCCGTACTGACCCCCAGGGGCATTGCTCCCCATACTCTCTGTGGGCAGTCCTGGAAAACGGTTGACCCCACGCGCGGCAGCTATCAGGGGCCAACAGATGCCACCTGTGTGGGAGAGCCTACCTGCCAGTTTATGTCTGTTCAGGTATTGCCCTTCAGTGCCCCATGGAAAGCGAAGTGGGGGGCAGACTTTCTTGGCACCTGGAGAAGTGACACCCCAAAGCTTCTCCCCCTACTTGTCTCTCTATGGGTCCCAAGAAGGGTGAGAAAGAGGCAGCTGTGGCCATGGCCTCAAAATGAACCAAACAGAGAGGACAACAGCCAGGAATCTCAGAAAGATCCCTGATAAAAGGGATCAGGAGGAACCAAACTGTCAAGAGTCAAGGGATCTGCCAAAGGAACGTCAGCAGAAAACAGGCCAAAGAGGCTGGGCGTGGAGTCCAAAAAATCCCACCCGCAGCACCCAGGCTTGCGGATTGACAACGAGGGCTTGGGTCCGAAGGAGCCTTGAAACCCGCACGATCTTGGTGCCCAGACTTGGCAGCTTCCCTTTCGCTAGCAAGTGCCCGGCCAGCCTAGCTGAGCAGGACTGGGGCAGGCGGGGGGGAGGGCGAGAGCAACTTCGTTCTTGAATCAGGAAAGCTTTGCTGTGGCTTCCCATTCGGCGGGTCTCCGCATATCCAGGTAACGGCCTGAGTGTCTCGGCAGTCGGATGAACGTGACCGGCAAGCGCTCCCTCTGTTGACCAGCGCTGCGTCTCCCCGGCCCTCTGGGCCACCCAGGTAGTGAGCCGGCGGGGGGCTGCAGGATCCACGCATCTCGGCAGGCTGCCTGGGTGGAGCCGGTGTCCATAAGCCAAACCTGGGATTTTGCAACAAAGGGAAACCTGGGGGAGAAGGGCTTGACTAGGGCCAGTTCTCCAGTCCCACCCAGGCACTGTTAGTGGCCAGAAATGCCAGCTCTCAGACTGCAGAAAACAGCCTTAATCCTGCACTCTTGACATGCTCCTAGTGCAGTAGAGGGCAAGTCCGCAGAATATTCCCTCATTTTGCTCTTTACTCTCTTCGTTCTGCATGTTTATTCTCCCAAGAACCATAAAAATCCTAAAGAAACAGTATAAAAATGCTTGTTAAAAATGATCTGCTCCCTGAATAACTTAGAGAGCCATTTGGCACCAGGCTAGAAACCAGGGACCGCCGCAATTGTTGTATGCTGACCAGAGTCGCTTTGTGTGAGATGGGCGGCTATATAAATGTGATATATAAATAAAATGAATATAAAATCAGTTCTAGTCCTGCCTGGGGCACAAGCAGCCAGCTGGGTGACTTTGGGCCAGCTCCTCTCTCCAGCTCCAGGGAGAAAATCTCGCCACAAGACAGATTCAGAGAAACCCGTCCCTGCAAAAAGTAAACCTTGGATGCAATAAACATCTAGATATTGTCGAAGGCTTTCACGGCCGGCATACGATGGCTGGTGTGGGTCTTCCGGGCTGTGT